TTCACTAGCTGGAAAAGTTAGTGTCATTTGAATAAATCTGTGCATTTAAACTGAAAATGATAAAGAACACAATAATTTTGAAAATATTTACATCTTAATTAAAGAGGTAGCAATTGTTTGTTTATTTAAAGTTTAAGCACAAAGCTACACAATGGTCTATCTGTGCTCTGCCCACCATGGGTATCAAATCCAAGTTTCTAGCATTGTAAGTCCACATTCATACTGCTGTGCCACTGGGGGGCAAGAGGTAGCAGGCACAAATAGCACTCTCCTCTTCTACATTATGCTTATGTTAATGATGAAAAGTGGTATTTCTTGAAAGAAACCTAACTTAGAAGAATGTAATAAAAGACAGGATCTGGCTTCTAAAATTTGTATTACCAACATGTCTTAAAAAGCTAACAAACCTTAATTCTGTGTAAAGTAATGGCAAGTATCTTTAAAAGAAATGATGTCCTATCTTCTGATCCAGTGCACTATAAAAGCAGCAGTTAAAAACAATATTTAAAATAGATTAGCATTAAACTTTGACATGGGTAGATTGGCATCAAAGAACCAGCCTGGGCAATGTGATATGTTGCATACTGGCTAAACAATTAAAATTTAAAATCAATTTTTAAGAATACATCATATGCATTGGCCAAACTGGCAATTGCTTGTTATCCTGTGGGCCAATCCAAACCTGGTCTGTGATTGTTTTTTGAACAAAATATCTTGATTATGATAATCAAGATTTTAGGTAAATGTAAAAATTTGCATATTATGATTATAAAAAAAAAAATCATAAAGCTGAAAACTAAGCATTCGTGACTAAATTATTTCAGATTAAAATAATAAACAGAATAAAATAAAAATATTTAAAACAGGTATAATTAAAAATTTAATACAAATTTATACAAACCCAGATATGATGTTCTTTATCTCTCATGGTAGTGTTAATCTTCAGTTATGTAAAATTAGAAAACTCTCAAGTGATATGTCTTATCATCTTTGTACATTTCACTGAAGAAAAAGAGCTATGTCTGTTACTGTAAGTCTGTTTGATTACCAATTTTCTTGACTACAGTTCAATGGCATGGATTCACATTTTCACAAGGCTCACATGTGAAACAAAGATATTTTGTATCTTTATAACAATGGTGAAATCTGATAGATAATGTATGCACAACGTTTGTCTTTATCATTCACACAATCGCCTTTTGATAATTCCACGAATTTCAACTTTCCTTCTGGTCAGTCTGTTATAATCAAAGTCCAAAATAAGTTTGTCTGATGCTTTGGTTTTTCCATCCAAATACCACAGAATGTTTCAAATGTTCTCTTTTTCATATGTTAATTCATTTTCTTCACCAAATTTAATACATACATTAAAATTCACTGTTGATACTACCATTCAAGGTACTTCTAAAATTCAGTTTCTGATTTTGTTACAAACTTACAGCTATGGTGTTTCAAATATTGCTTCTGAATCTCTGCAATATTCCATGGTTGAACCATGCACACGTGTACTCATTTGATATAATATGAGGTTTACATATCTAATATGTGAAAGGACAGGTGTAGTGATTTGTTATAGGTGGAATAAAGACAACATTCATTGTGAAACTTAAATACAAATAAGCATTTGATTCATGAAGATACATCTGAATGACTGATTGGTTAGTGCTAGGACTAACATGTTGTGAGATATGAAGTCCATAAATCATATTGTATTACAATGTAAAGTAATGTAAGCAAAATGTAGTTAAATGTAAGAAAAGTGTAAACTTTATTTGAAATTAATTAAAGACAACTGGTATTGTCTAACTAAAGGAAAGATGCACATATGATCAGTAGAATAAACTTTATAAAACTTGGAAAACATAGTAAAACATTCTATATTCTCTCTCTGTAACTGACCAATTACAAAGCTGGATCACAAGTATCTGTGTTCCTTGTGACAGACATAGAGCAGTTATAAATAAATGAGGTAATATAGGACAACATACAACTATTGCATTAAACAGTAGATATCTTACATGACTGAATCCTACTACAGAAAGTAAAACCTAGAGTTCTAAGGAATACAATAAATCCAGTTGAGGTTGTGTGATAATTCAACTCTAGGTGTCACTCTCTAAAGTAGGATTCAGTCTAGAAGGCTGTTTCAAAGGGTAATTGTTTTGTGTCTTACTTGACTTTGTGTATGTATAATTACTTTATGACTGACAGAATTAAGGATGAGAAAAACCTCTGAATACTTGTGATCCAATTTTGTGATTGGTCAGCTACAGAGAGAATATGGATTGTGAGTGCAGTTTCTATCTTGAATGAGTAAAGTATTGCTGTCAAAGTCCTATTTCAGTCAGTTTATCATGTATGTGCCTTTTCATTGATTCATTCAGCTACCAAATAGTTTATTTCAAAGTAAGCTAATTTTATTTTGTTATATACAGTTTCTTTCAATTAAATACATTTAGTTTTACTTCCAAAACAATAATGAAATTTCTAAGAGATTACCAACCTTTATCTAGGTTTTATTTTTAATGTAACTCTGAAAATAATTTTTTGTTTGGTTTTACATTGAGTCTTGTTTCTTTTATTTTACCTACAACAGATTATTACACTTGCTTTTTCAAGTGTTAGATCCTCAAATTTCTTGTTTTTGTGAAGATCAGGTAAATGTGTGCTTTGCCTATTTTTGAAATACTACACCTGTCTTAAGAGGTTCAACTTTTTGGATTTTTCCTGTTTTCTCTAGAAAGTAGACTTTGAGAAGAAGACTTGATGTAGGTGTTCAAAATTGTTAAGGGCTTGGTCAGTCTTCCTATAAATGGTCATTTGAGTAATAGAATGAAAATCCTAGAAATATAAATTTGAATTTCAGGGGGTAATAGGTTTAAGCTGTGGAAACCTAGATGCAGACTTTTTCTTTGATTTGTAGGTGTGGTAAACAGGCATATCATGTTCCCCTACCTTCTAAAGTAACACAGAATTGTTTGAAAACATCGGTTATTTAGTATCCAAACTGTCACAGTAGCAACACATGGTTCAGGATGTCTACCATTATCTTGTTCTAGTCACTTCAGCCCTTTATTCTGTTTTTAAATGAAATCCACTGCTTGCAAGAATATTTTAGTGCTGTATTTTGAGCCTGAGTTAAACTCGTTAAAAGTAGAATATCCTTTTCTCACCAAACTACAACATCGACTAAAATTGATAGTTGTCAGAGGACAGAGGTGAGGCCATCCACTGTACAAAGAAAGTGGGGTGATGTTCAAAATCTAGGTGCACTATGTTTAAATTTGTTTATAAGTAGTCAGGTAAAGCAGTTTGTGATGACAACCAATGGTAAGGTAGCAGTACTTTACCTATATGAAATTCTGTGTGGATTAATTTTTACTTAATTCAAAAAAATGATAGTTATAATTTCTAATCCATCACAAGATACTTAAAAATTAAAATTACATTTAGCAATGTTGGTTCTTCATATTTTTCATTTAAAATACAGGAATTAATTTGTATCATGACTAGTTTAGCACAGATTCATCTTGAGAGAGGGGAAAGCTGGCATGTTTGCCTGTTTGTTACTTATCAGGAAATTGGTTTTACATGAAAATACTACATAGGACAGTTTGCTTGATGATGTAGTGTGTTGTTAGTTTGAGATACATTAAAACTCTATTGGATAGATATATTAAAACAGTATATACTTTTCGTATGTGTAAAGAATGACCTCAACGGGCTGAATGTTCTTATGTTACTTTGCTTTTTCTATGTTGTTACAAATTAATTAATTTACCAAACTTAGAATTTTTCTGTCAAATCACCAAAGCCTTAAAAAAATTTAAATTTGATCAACAGATGTGTAAAGAATGACCTCAACGGGCTGAATGTTCTTATGTTACGTTGCTTTTTCTATGTTGTTACAAATTAATTAATTTACCAAACTTAGAATTTTTCTGTCAAATCACCAAAGCCTTAAAAAATTAAAATTTGATCAACAGATTACCATCTACCTATCACTTAAACTTCCTACCCATACCTTACACAGCCTGACACTTTTTCTAAATGAGAAAAAACATCCACCTTCCTGTAGAATTATTGTTAAAAGTCATAACACATGTTAGCCAGAAGATATGACTCATTGCTTTTTCATACGTTTATGGTCATGCTCATCTGGAACTTGTTGGATATATAATTTTACTTGCAACACTTTACTTTCTGTTCTTCTTATGACAACTCTTCATGTTCATCACCTATGACTGCAGTTCTCCAAATGTGGGGCATGACCTACAAGGTGAATGCTACACTGTAACAGTGGGTGAGATGATAGAATGATACATATGCATGTGTGTGTGTGTGTATATATATATATATACGGGAACTAGCTTGCAGATTTAAAATATACCTTTCTACTCCCGAAGTTATTCGTCAAATAATAAGGCTGTTCATTGGTAACTTTATTACAATGAATGCAAATTTACTATACAGCAAACAAATGCAGGTGTTACTAATAAAAGCATATGACAAGTGTAATGAATCATTTTGTTGTCCTTGGTGGTAAATGGGGTACTGAAGAATGTAAAGATTGTGAAGAAAAGCAGGCAGGGGTAAGTATGGCTAAAAGTATAGAAACTGAAAATACCGATGATCATACTTGGCTTTTCGTTTTACTATTTTTGTTCAGAAACCAGGTCTGTTGAACTGTTATGAAGCCATAGTGGGGAAGACGAACCAATGTCTTAGTGAAGTTGATATCTATAGCTTCTATTTTTCCTATTCATCGACAAGCTTTATTTCCATTTAAAGAAGTTTTCTATATTTTCAATTGCTTTCATTTACTACACTTTTTTCAAAGAATAAGGTAATATTCATTAATACAGATACACTAATTGAACATCTTAAACAAAAAAGAGCTTGAGGTACATATAATACTACAACTGATATCATTTTTATATAACTGTAAAACATTAATCACTAAAATATAGAATCACAAATTCATAGAGTATGGTCTTTTATTCATATTAAAAGCACTACAATTTATACTTGATACTAAATTAATATGATTTATAAATTGAATTAGGTGAAGAATATACGTGAAATTACAAAATCTTACAGAAAATAAAATGCAGTGATTCCTTTTAAAAGATGCACATTATACCACTTCCATACAATATTCTGGTAAATGAATTTCTTATAATGTTCAAGTAATTTCAAGACTTAAGAAATTATATAAATGAAAGAAATGAATTTTAGTTTAAATGAATGCATTTATAATTAGCTTCTGGACTGATACACTTACAAGAAATGGTGTTTTTTTCATCAGATCATTTCTTGCTGTGCATACATTGGTAGTTGAAAATGATACAGGTTCAGAAATTGTAATACATGCATTTCTAATTCCTCTTTGAAAACCAAGCCTTGGTTGGCACTTTTCAACTCTTCCTTTTCAATGGAATTCAGCTAAGAAAAATTAAAGTATTCATATAAAAGCTTCTCTTTCCATATAGACTATTTTCTATACATACAAATGAAGGATTAACTGTCAAAAAATACACCTAGATGTATACTAGCAAAGGTATTTGAAGAGCATATCTTGAGAAGACCCATTTTAATCAAAAGTAGACACATTTTTGGCATTAATTACAGTTTGGGCTCTGTTACTAATACTTGTCATTAACCATTAATATACATCTGGCGAAACAAATCATCACTCCAGCATTTTATAATAGGTGAGAATCTTTGACCAAAGATGTCAGTGACAAAACATTCACATGCCCAAGGCAACAGTATGCAATTTAATCAGGAATGATTATTCTGGAAAGTGACACAAACCTCATATACACAAAATGCTTTCAGGACATCGATTCAAGCAACTAAAGAATGAAATGGTATTTTTGCTATTCTGAAAGAAGACATAAATTGGTAAAGTTACTCATGGATATCTGTGCAATCAGACTATTAAAACAGGTGCTAAAATACTGCTGTCCTCATACACAAGATAAATTGCAGAAATCATGCAGGTTGAAGTGGTATGCTTTGAACAGGACAGTGTTACAACAGGGCCTTCTGCAATGAAAATTACTTTGCAGGGCTGCTGTCAAAAAAGATGATTGAACATGGCAATATGGACCATAACATACTCAACTTCTGCAGAACCTTTGAGCAAAACATAAGATGTGAGGAAACTGCTGTGAAGTATTTCTGGATCTATGATATTTTGTGATTTTTCAAGATGCTTGTTGAATAGTATTGATTATTAAAGTAAGTCCTCACACTATTTTCATCATAAAACATTCATATTGCAATTTGATCAGTATTCTAAGTTAGGAAGCATTGATTAATATATTTTGAACAGGTGGAGGACATTTTTTTTACTAATACATTCATACCTAGTGTGCATGATGTGAAAATTAAGCAGATAATTATGTTCCCTACATTTTTAAAACAACAAGAGCATCCTTTAGGCCATCCTACACCTTATTAATAAAAATTTGATGTTCTATCAGTTTTAAAAACACAACTAGTTTCTACTAACCTTTTTGCTAATCATAATGTCCCTCAGATCTTTTAGGAGGCCTGGGAAACAATCATGGTACACTGCTAAGCACCAGGATTCATTGAAGTAGCTGACAATCAGCAATGTAATACACTGTATTCATTTCTAAAAGACTACTGTACATATCTTTTATAGAAAATGCAGATTAGTTTTCATACAGTTGAATTTTTTAAAATAATTTATATAATAAGAATGTTAGTAAAAACATCTCAGAAAGATGAAAATCCATACAATTTACTGATAATTACTAAACTTTTGTAAATAAATCCATCTTATATTATGTTTGGCTGATGTTCTTTCAACTAAGAATTCTTCAGACTTGTACATAGCTTGAAGTAGAAAATGAAAAACAGCAAACTGTATTCCACCTACATTAACAAAACACTTGCTTTTACAAAAGATGTATTTTTAAGAACCTGAATTCAATGATGCAAGAGAAATTTATTAGTCCTACCACAAAATACACACAAAATGAAAAACTGTACACAGAATTTTTTTAGAATTAAAATTAGTTTCAAACAGGTACATACCTCTGAAGACGTTTCTTATTGGCTGGTTCTCCCACTGTCAAAAACCATCTACTTCTGAATGACCTGTACGCATTGTATTACATTTTTCATTCTCCCATCTTCCACATGAATTATTGTGCAAGTACATGCCAGGGGGAATTACATAATCTATGCTTTCCTGTCACAAGCCAGGTTTCTTTGTTTGCAGTTGTGATATGATACATTCATCTTTGTTGTAGGAAGTGGGTTTGGAATGTGAACGTATTTAAAAAGTAAGTATCTGTTTGAAATAAATTTTAGTTTTAAAAAGGTAAACTTCAAATCAGGTAGACTTACCTCTGAAAATACTGTAAATCAGAATACCCACATGTAGATGGGGAAGTGAACTAGACAGTGTCAAAATAAAAGATAGCTGGATTGCTAGGACAGAAAAGGTTAGATACCTTCAGCAGAACAATGTCAATTGTTGTGTAAAAATCAGAATCTAAAACCAGAGTTATAGGTGCTAGCCTAGATTTGTTTGGAAGAATTGAGTGGAGATGATCAGTCTCTAACAAAATGTGACCAAAAATGAGGACACTCAGAAGGAAAAGCATTCTTCTCAGCAGAATACCTCTTCATCTATTAAATGAAGGTTCTCAGAGCAGAAGACTAGTAATTAAGTAGATTCTGGATGTATTCCTTGGCTAAAATCCCTATCATTTCAAACTGAAAACTGGCAAAATTATAAAACTGGTCTGGTAAGTAGGCACCCAGAGAGAATAAAAAAAAGCTGGGTGGTCTGGAAGATGAGCCCAATACTTCAAGGACAGAACAATGGGAACATTGTGTAAGGAAGTAAGAGAGTGTGAAAATAAAGCCAGATGATATACTGTATCCTGTTTGGAGCTATGAAACACACAATAGAGAATAGTTGTCATGTCTTTGACATCTGAAAATACTAGACAATGATGTGAAATGTGGAAGCAGCAAAAATCACCCACTAAGACATCATCCACAACCTAATGGCATCTTCTCTCCACTTTCAAAGAGTATTACTCTTTTATGGAGCACTAGCACAGAGGATAGAACATTCTAGAATAACTGTAGAGGTAAAATGAAAACATACAAAAGTCTCTACTGGATGAATCCACCTAAATGAATCCATCTTATATTACAAGACAGAGACCATGATGCTTTATTTTTTGAGTGCAGTTCAACTAGACTTAAAGTATGCCTACAGGAAACAAACAGAACCCCAAAGCTGAAGAGACAGAGATCTGATGTAAGTAAAAGTTTAAAAATGTATTCAGATTAATCCATATATTGTTCTGTAGAAAGACCTCCAATGGGTATTGAAAACAAGATGCTTAAGACATCATCAACTGTTGAATTTTGTGAGATGAAACCCACGATTCACTTTTAAGGTGTTCAAGTACACCATGGTTAACAAGGCAAAGGACTGAGATAGCCAATTTATTATTGTTGTCAGAGCAAGAATCGAGTAGTGTGAGTTATCATAAAGTATAAAATATTTCTGAGACACCCTGAATGATTCAGTGTGTTTGAGATAACAACAAACAGCCATGAATGGACATAAAAAGTGATCCTCTAAACAAGACTTCAGATCAGTCTAGACAGATAACACATTAAGTGAGAAATGGTTGTTACCATCCTGCAAAACTCATGTCTTAGATGGGAAGGCTCTATCTGAATATGGGTATAGAACGTTCCGCGAAAATAAGGTATGTGATACATTTGAAGGTCTTCTACCTAATACAAGCAAAAATAAAAAATATGTCTTGTGGGAAATATGATAAATTGAACAAGTTGCTACATAAGACTATGCCTAAGTTACACTTTGGGCAATGTCTAAGAGCTCAAAGATACTGGAACATATCTGTGAACAATGGGAACAAATGAGACTGATAGCTCCCATGGCATCAAAATATGGCAAATAAACAACCTCTATAAAGGAAGCTGATATGTCATGATCATGAAACAAATGCATGAAAAAAGAAACAATTTGTTGAGGAGATACAGATGGATAAGCTACAGCATATCAAATGCACCAATTCTGGAAGCTAGCCCAACAAGATGGATAGTATACAAGAGACAAACATTGGCAAGAATGGGATAGCATTAAAATGTACATTTTAGTCTGTCTTAGAAGATATTCCCATGGTGGTAATGGGATCAGTTCCCAGTGAGAAAAAAAAATGACGATGTAACAGGGGAAGACATGCTTAAGCATGCCAAAGTGGAGTGATGTAGAGAATCTGACACTTGGTTGAACTGTCCTTGTCTAGTACAAGTGGAAGAAGACAGAAAGGAAGGCGGGCATAAAGGAAGATATTCTTCCAATTTTGACACAAGGCATTCACCAGTGAAGTTGGTTCCAGGACTGAAGACTCAGCCAAAATGTTTATCACACCTGAAACATGACATGCTCAAAGGTAAATATGCTGAGATAACAAATAAATGATCAAATGCCACTGGAAAGGAGTGCATATGAGCATAACCCAAAGGAATAACTACATGAAGTGAAACTACTGTCCCTAAAATTGAAAGGATGTCTTTGGCAGTAGATATCAGAAGTTTTAGCACAAAAAACTCCAAAGCTTGAAGTGCTGTAGGAGATGGCTGAAAATTCCTCTAATCCAAAACTAAAGATCAACCAAATACTGAATTGGTACTAAGATTTGGTGCTATGAATGACCCACCTAAGAAACAGAATCTGAGTGAGTACTAGAGGCTGAATGGACTAGAAAGCAAGACGAAGTTAATCACCCATATAAAAACTGAAATGATGTTGAGAGAATGGAGAAAGAGAAACTACCTGATCCACATTCTGAAGGAAAATTGGGTTGGAAGGAAGTAGAGCAGATACAGAGAGAGAAAAAAGGTGAAGCTGATGACAAAAATAAAAGACTAGAATGAAGAATTTGTTGAACACAAGGGCCCCACAGATAAACACATGAAATCAAATGACCATCCAACAGTCTGAACGGGGGGCATGTCTGGAATTCAAGATAATCATTGAGTGGTTTCAGTGGAACACCCTCCACATGCTCCAACACTTGGCAACATGATTGTGATTAAAGGTATGATGGCACATCTGGAACTAAAAAAGAGTCATTGAGTTGTTTGAGTAGAACCACCCGACATACTCGAACACTTGACAACATGATTGTGGTGAAAAGAGTGAGAAGAAACAATGGTAGTAGAAGACACATAAGCAGAAAAATATGAAAAGCTAGTATGCATTTCCTGAATGTGAAACTAGGTTGGATGACATTCTTGAAAAAAAAACAGAAAAATGCAAGATAGAAGCCCTTTGAAGTCTATTGAAATACTGGTGGAAAATGAGTACCTTGCAATGACAGGCTAGAGTGTTGAAGGGAAATAGATATCACACAGTAAAAAGATACTAAATCAATGAGATCTGCAGTCAGTTAAACATTTATCCTGATTAAAAGGATCAGGTGAATGAGAATATCAAGTAGCAAATACTAGAGAAGAAAGTCCCAGTATGATACAAACCATATCACACAGGGAAGAAAACTGGCAAGAAGACAAGTAGAAAGACTATGTGGAAAATCCCCACCAAAAAATGACGTGGAGGCCCACAACTTGTGAACAAAGATGTTTTATAGAAAACAACCCTGCTAAAAGAGCCATCCATATGAAGAAAGCAAGAAATTAAAAAAAAAAACATGAACATGCTGCTGATTTCTGAAGGCATCAGCAATAACTCAAACATCAGAAGAAGAAGATAAAAAATTCAAGAACAGAATCATCTTACATAACACAAGATCTTCAGGCATAACATAAATTGGTTCAGGATTTAAAATAGTACCAGGCAATAATAGTTTTTTTAATTACTTTTTCCAAAAATATAGAGCAGACTGTGGTTTCAACAAACAAAATATAGAGTTAAATATACATAAATAATTTATTTAAAACTGACTAATAATAAATGTTACTTTCTATACCCATCTGTAAAAGTTCCAAGAAATCCATTACTTTGTGTGTGGCGATAAATATTTTACCATAAAAATTCTGGTAATTATGAAAATGATGTCTGATGCAGAAAACCCCTGCTTCCAAGTCCAAGAAGGTGAAAAGGAATGGGCAGAAAATGAATATGAAAATAATGTAAATGTTTCACTCATTTAGCATCCACATGAACAAGAAACCCTACTGAGACACTAACAAATTATTTGGAATTAACAGCCCTAATACACTGATAAATGAAAGTTGACAACCACTGGATCTCTTTATATTACCAGGGAAAGACTTTATGAACAAAACCTCCAAAGAATTTGAAAGAAATGTAGTAATTTCTACATTAATAGAAATGTTAACATCAGGGTTAAATTTTACTTCCGAATTTATGAGTAGAGCAAATGAATATATTGAGTTTTTGTAGGACTGTCAACAAGAAAACATGGCTTGTGGAGGAGAGCTGGGCTTATTAGTTTCCTCTCATGCTTGCACTGATTTAAGACGAAGGTGGGAGAACTCTGGGTGAGATGGTGCATGTAATGCTTTGTTATTTGCATCAATGACATTCAGAACCAAAGGTTGTTAGTCTATCTGATTTGAATTCTTGATGAACACCTAATATAGTATCTTGTATACAGGATAACTTATTAGCACTCTATACAAATTTTTATTTCCTTTTATTTACCTAAAAAATGTTTAATTGCATTTTACCAGCCCTCAGTGGCTCAGCATTAAGCCCGAAGGCTTATAAAGCTACAAACTGAGTTTCAATAGTCATGGTGGGCATAGCAAATGTAGCCTATGATTTAGCTTTGTGCTTAACAACAAACAACCAAAGAACATACTTCAATACATTTTGTTGTTCAGTTTCTTTCTTTTCCAGAATTAACATAATTTTAAAGCTGAAAGTCATTACAACCTAAGAAGCAGAGCTATCCACTTATAAAATCCCTGTCACCATTTCTTTTCATAATTGTATTAGTTTTGGCTCTACTTTACATATTGAATCTATATATCTTCATATTAATAATATAGAAATCAATACACCATAATTTCAACTTTCTTACCTGTACAAGTCAGTTATCAGACCTTCTTTATACTTAGGTAGAAGATTGTTTAAAAGAGACTGGTGAAGTCCAAACAACTTAATGAGATTTGATGTGTGTAAGTCCTAAGAAATTAATGAATAAAAATTTCATACATATTAGGACCATAAAAATTATAACTATTATAAACATGTTTCAATCCATCTCAAGGTAATATATTTTTATGCTTAATCCACTACCAATCTACATTCCTAATGATTCAACCAAACTACAAAAATTACAGGTAAAGATAACTAGGATGCTGGATTACACCTGTACTGATCTTATGATCTTCCATGTTGTATGTTTCTAAGAACCTAATAACTAAACCAATTTAGACTTGTTCATGCCAAGAAATAATGTATTCTTTCATGAATAATAAAAGTATCAACTTGTATGGTTTACAAGTCAAGAATGGCAGAGCAAAAACCATTCTAGGATAACAAATGTGATACAACATCATAATATGACTGCAACAAATTTCTTAACATTTACAGTCTTAACTAGAGAATTTGAGAGCTCATTTAGAATATCCAAATAGATCAACATTTCACCAACTTCAGTGTTACCTGCAATGTAGTTTACACATGACTTGAGAAAAACAGCAGTTAAACTATACCTTTGAGTGTTATAGTCTAGCCTGTCTGAAAAGTTTGAGTACAGAATGAAAGGTCTCATCAACAGATTCTACTGCAAGCAAGGTATATGTGATATGCTATTGATATATGTACAATCATCCTTCTGGAAACCTATAATGGACCACTTGAGAATAAAGTGTGAAAATCATTTGCCATTTAATTTTAATGCTTCACACTTGCTACTCTAAATATTCTACAATTCTAACAGTAGACAGCTGTTCAAAAACGTGCTAGAGATATAATTATTATCTAGATATAAACTGGAGTATTTTGTTTAAATAAACGAAAATGTTTCTGGGCTGAAACAACCCAACATTATAATCCAGAACAAATGTTTGAATCTTCAATAAAATGTAAATTGCTCAGCTATAAAACATTAAAAAACATCAGGACTTTGACAGCAATATTTTACTCATTCAAGATAAAAACTGCACTCACAATTCACATGTAGCTTACAAGTCACAAAATTGGATCACAAGTATCCAGAGGATGATCATACTAAGTGATAGGAAATATAACTACTAAAATTAAATGAATCAAATCAATTGAAACTAAACAAATAAAACTGTACTATATTGAAAATAAAATGAAAGGGGATAAATGAATTTTAATGAAAACAAATTATATCTTAAAATGAGTTTTAAACTATTTGTCTTAATGGAGCAAAACGAAGATAGACAAATCACTTCTAAAATAGGATAACACAGAAGAAACTTCACAGAGTGACCTAGCTCCTTCACAGTCAAAACAAAATATGTGGGAAAGTATTTAAACTGCTCTCACAACCCACACTTGTGGTATATACGTACTACATGACTCATTTTGTATTTTCAAAATTTTAAAAATATTCTAAAGTTCTAATTCAAAACACACTAAAGTTTCTGATCAAGGTGATGTGCTAAAACCTCTAGCAGGATGACCTCATTCATTCCGAAGTTTTTCCCCTGACTTTCCAGGCAAAATTTTATATCTTCCATTCTTGCATATGCACTGATTTGTAACTTTTCCTCATAATTCTACCTAATTAACACCACTTTAGCTTGTAAGCCGATTATAAGGGGAAGTAAAAACTTCAAACATACGTTAGGCTACTACAGAAAAAATATCTTCAGACAAGAACACTGTATTAATTGGTAGGGAATAAAATGTAGCACTTACATACAGAGAATAACATTTGATACTTATCATCAAATATAATATATTAGATGTTTATTACTAGAAAATATAACAGAATGACTGACTAAGATAATGTTAAAATATACCAATAACTGGCATAGCTAAGTAGCACAGTTTGCATGTGAACATAGGTACTAACATAAAAAAGGGGGGCAAGCACAAGTTTTCCCTAGGTTTTGGGATAGTGTTTTAATTCTCCCTAACTGTTTTTACTCCTTTTTTAAATGTCCTAACTTTTCCAGTTTCATGACCACCCTGCCTATGTGGTAATTTTTGCAATAGGAACCAATCATGAAAACTAGCTACTGTTTTATGGAATAGTTGTGTTGTGTCCTACTTTATCTAGTATATAAGGGATTGCTCTGCATCTTTCATGTGCAGAGTCAATATTTCTAAATACTTTTGATTTATTTCTCTAATTAACCAGCAACAGTGTTAGCACTTACAGAGAGATCTGTTTCTATCTTGATAGAGCTAACTAAGACCTGCTGTGGAATCTTGTTTTCTATGTCTTCTAATGCTCGCTGATCACACATGTACATATTTAACTTCAAGCAAAGTTCAATCTCTTTTTCATTTGTTTAAACAAAATATTTCTTTATTGTCTTTTTATTAAATAAAGTTCATTTTATACTAATTCAGTCCATACCAAAAAGCAATAGTGTTCCACTCATATGATAAGCCAGCTTTTAATTCACATTTATGTTGTCTTTTGTAGCAAAGTGTTTATTTTTGATTCAACTTCACACCAATTCTTGTATCTTTCATTCCACTTACAATTAATCAATATATTTGTTCTTCCATACACTAAGTCCACAAATCTCTTATTATTAAGAAATGGTAACTGGTATACTTGGAATATAACAGCTTACCTCAATTGATATTCATTTTTGCTGCTGTCAGCCTAGATCTAGTTCTGTGAAAGTGATAGTTGATTTATGCCTTTGATTCTTCTAAGTCTTATGCTCCTTGTCAGGTACCATCCAAGAGATGTCTATGAGATTGGGTAAATCATATGATCGAGGGAAAGAGAGACAAATGGGTCTGCGAACCCTTATATATTTATCACAGAAGTCCTTTTTTTGAATGGTGAGTGTTTCCCAACATTTGAGCAAGTATTCAGGAGCTTCACATTTTTTTCACCCAATAAGGTAAACGAACCATTTTCTGATCCTTCCAGAACTACTGTTTATGTCAGTAATTCTAGTCCACATCAGCTGAGTCTGAAGACAATGATGGAGAGTTGCTGAGAAGGGAAATTGACAACAATTATGCTGAAACCCCTTGAGCCAGCCTGTATAGAGCTACACATGTCAGCATCCAGTGCTTCTAAAGCTACATTCTAGTTGCCCCTTTTTGGAAATAGCTAGAGAGAAGTTGCAAATGGTGAGCAATGTGCACCAACTTTACCATACCTGCTTTCCACAGGCATGATTACTACCTTGCTCAGTGCTTGATATACCCTATATTAGCCTTCTCATGAAGAAAGTGTCGAATTTTTGTATAGGGGCTGGATTCTTTACAGTAGATGTCTGTGACTTGTTAGCAATAAATTTCAACCATATACAGACAGCACACAATCCACTTGTTTTAAAATAATATATTCAAAACAAGTCGATTGTATAAAAGAAAAAATTTTGTTACATTGTTGGTTACCATAGTTGAATCTAGAGCTTTAAATAATTCTCTTTTTTGTCAAAGTCCACACAGGCTGGTTCAGTTACTTTAGAACACAACTGACAAGACAAATTATTTCTTCTCTACTCTTTTTATCAAAATAGAATCAGTGATAAATTCACTTACCTTACCATGTGGGTTACCAAAGTCATAACCAGAGCTTTAAATAATTCTCTTTTATGTAAAAAGTCCACACAGACTGGTTCAATTACTTTAGAACACAACTGACAAGATGAATTATTTTTCTCTACTTTGTTTTTTACTGCACAATCTGTGATAGTTTCACTTTAGAAATCACCACTATAACTGTTGGTTATCACAGTTGTATCCAGAGCTTTAAATAATTGTCTCCTTTTCATGGAAGTTCAATTACTTTAGAACACTCTCAGACAAAATAAATTCTTCTTCTTTATCTCTGTTGTTACAATACAAACTGTGAAACTCTACGAATCACTCATTATGGCTAAGCCAACAATCATGCAGTCTAACTTCACTTTCACTAATTCAACATTTTCCTCTTAACTTAACTTTTCCAGACTTAATTTCTATACCAACTTTTTAGAAATTGCACATCATGGGTAAACTGCTAATCACTCAGTCTAGATCTAATTATCTCTCAGTTAACTTGCTTTCTTGACTTCCTCTCTGTTTCTGCACATATTTATAACATGTTACAGAAAAATCTAGATATATCTAGCCCTCTAGTAGCAACAATATTACAAATAATGAGAAGAACTTGGAAGCTTCAAGTAAAATTATGTCAACAATTATACTACACACACACACACACACACAC